TCCAATCCAGGTATCTTGCTGATTAATTGCAGATCAGAGACTCATGGACTTTCTCTTCCAGGACTGGCTTTGAACCATGATCCTCAGATCTCAGGCTCCAGTGTAGCTAGAATTACAGGCATGAGCCAGCTCAAACTCAACAATTTTGATAATAAACTCAGTGAGACACTGAACCAAGCAATAAAAATCCTACAACTTAGAGAACAAAGACAGTCTACTGACCCTCCTTGGAACTTTGGATTCACCCAAAGGCAGAGTAAACCTTTCATTCCCATAGCCAGAAAATTCTCCATCAATAGTCAATCAGCATGAATTATTTTATACCAGTAATGAGCCTTCCTAGACATTGTTGCTTTCCCTGGTAGAGGCCCAACCCTGCCTCCACCTCAGAAACTTTCAAGGGTTAAACTTAAATAATCCAATAAAAAATGACTCTCCATAGATCTGAAAGAATGCAAGTCAGAATACAGTAGAGACACACACCCATGTTCATTGCAGCATTATTGATAATAGCCAAGCTATGGAATCAGCCTACATGCCCTACACCTGATAGACGGGTAAAGAAAATTTGGTGTATTATTCAACCATAAAGAGGAATTAGCTAGGTACTGGTGGCTCTTAACTGTAATCCTAGCTACTCAGGAGGCTGAGATCTGAAAATCATTGTTCGAAGCCAGCCCCAGTAGAAAAGTCCAAGAGACTCTTATTTCCCACTTAACTAGCAAAAAAATGGAAGTGGAGGTGTGGCTCAAGTGGTAGAGCACCAGCCTTGAGAGAAAAGCCGATGAGAGCATGAGGCACTGATTTCAAGCCCCAATACTGGCACAAAAGAAAAAAATAAGAAATCATGCTACTTTCAGGCGTAAAATGGATTAAACTGGAGTTCATATGTAAAACATCAGGTTCAGAGGGATAAAGGTCACATTTTTTCTCATATGCAGAATTTAAACTATACATATGCATACATACATTCGTATGCCTATATACATATATAAACATGACTGCAATAATCGGACTGTTTGGGGGAGTGAAGGGCGAGAGAAAAGGAAAAAGAATGATGAGGGTGAAGAATACAAAAAATTGTGTCTATGTATGAAGATAGTACAAAGAAGCACAATGCAGTCTGTCGAAAAAATAGGAGAGGTCAAAAATAGGAGGGGAGGGCAGAGGGGGAAAGAGTATGATAGAAGGGATAAGATCAAAGAATAATATATGCATGTGTGAACTACCACAGTAAAATCTCCTTGGAACAATTAATATACACTAATAAAAAAGATAACCTGGCAAAACAATGCCTCTCATCATATTTTATGGCCCAGTGCTAGACTGAGAGTCAATGTGGAATGTGCGGGGTAACAGGTTTACTCTGAAGTACTTTCAAAAAGCCTTCAGTGTGAATCCATTGTCAGAAGCTCCAGCTTGTTCTGCCTTTATTTTCTGAACCCCTAAACTTAACCACACCCCCATTTAGGATTTCAGAGCTGAGATGGGGACTGTAACCAATACCACCCAGCTCCTCTTTCCCACAAAAAGCTCCCCTGTCATCCCAGAAAGCCATCCTTGGCCTAGATTTCCCACAAAATTGCCTGGTTGCCTTTTGTCCTTCCTGCTCTTTGGTCTAGGTTGGAGGACTCCCAAAATCTCCACAATCTCTGCAAAAGTATAGGCTCATTCCCCCTTCCCTACTGCCTCCAATCTGTCTCTGGGGCTTGAACTCAGGGCCTGGGCACTGTCCCTGAGCTTTTTTTTTCTCAAGGCACTCTATCGCTTGAGCCACAACTCCATTTCAGCTTTTTTTTTTTTGGTGCTTAATTGGAGATAAAGGTTTCACAGACTTTCCTGTTTGGGCTGGGTTTGAACCTCGATCCTTAGATCTCAGACTCCTGAGTAGCTAGGTTTGCAAGTATGAGCCACTGGTGCCCAGCTTCATTTCTCTCTCAATCTTTTCCTTTTTTTCTCCCAAACCCAGTTCCTATTTGCTTTCCTCTCAGGAACCTTTGGTTTGCCAGTCCTCCCATGGTCTGGAAGCCAGGGAAAATTGACTTCCTTCAAACAGATAAAGAGGACACAAAATACACCATTGGTGACACCCCAAAACCGTGTACTTCAGAGTCCAACAAACACCATATATTGCGTGTTCTAGTATAGCCCCGCTTCCACATCTTTTCTCTCTCCTGTGGGGTTTGCCCATGTCAGAGGATGCCTGGGATGAAGTTACCTTTTAAACATCAAAACTACCATTCTCTGGGACTCAGAAACACCCAGAAAAGCTGTTCAGCTACTAAGAAAGGTAATTGTGAAGTACTAGCTTTTTCCATCCTTTTAAGATACCAGGGCTGTGGCACAGGTGGCCAGAACATTTTGAGTCAGCTGAAGAAAGTATGTGCTGGTGGAGACATTTGGAATTGCAGAATCGAAATGGTAGCTTGAGAAAGCTGTGGAGCTCAAGAAAGGTAGTGCTGAGGATGAGAATTTTCTGAAAGTTCCGGAATGTAGTAGGATGTTCCTGACTTCTCCAAAATAAAAAGTGACGTGTTCCTAAGAAGCTCCAGTATCAAAAAATAACTTTAGTGAATTCAAGATACAACCCAGCAGGGACCCAAGCCAAAGTATTCTGAGACCCTGGGGACACACCAAATTCCATTCTGTCCCTTCCTGACCTATACTCCCCATAATTTAAGCCAAGAACCTAGCTCCTCAGTGGACCTGGTCTGTCAGAGCACACACTGGCCACACCCCTGCACAGACCACTGTACCACCGCCCCCCTGCAGCTGCACTGTGAGGTCTTGACCGGAAAGTCCCAGCCAGCCCTCCCCCTGAGTCTCCTATGATCACCTACTTTGAAGTCTGTTCCCCAGCAGTGAACCTCTTCCTGGTAAAATAGTGGTTTTTCCAAGCTTTATTACATAGTCCTAAGGCTCCAGCTCTCAGCCAGCTCACACCACATAAAAGCCAGGCCCTAGCTTCAGCCCAGCTGCCACTGTGACCATTCAACTTTCACCCAAACTTGTCACTGACTCTCAAAGGTCATCAGCCTGCCTTGAACCATGGGGCAATGCTCAGCAGGTACCTTCCCCCACCCAATGTAACCTAGGCAACAACCAGAGGCCCTAGCCAAGAGCCCCAAAATTGCACCAAAGCAGGAAAAAGGTGGTCCCAGGCAAGAGTAGGGAAGCAACCTTCTCAAAAGTTGTTCCACACAGTCCAGAGACCCTGCAGCGTCAGGTGGCATGAGTGGTCCTGAGATGGCCCTTGACAGCTACTGGCTTGCACTTAAGCTTTCTTCAAGTGGGCCTGTAGCATGCCGCTGTGCCAGTGGGTCACAAGGTTTGAGGCACCGAGAGCCCCAATCCCCTCTTGCCAGGGCTGTCCAGTGAAGCTGCAAACGTGTAACAAAACTCCTTGGTTGAGGACCATGAGAGAGGCCCGATGCAGAGAAATCTAGGGGCGACACTCCAGAATTCAAGATTTGTGTATTCACATCCTAATTCCCAGGCTTCCCCCTTAGATGGTGAAGTACACACTGGGAGGGTAGAGGCAAGAGAAAAGAACTCCCGTCTGCTCCAGAAAAATACAGCATAGTGGAAAAGCCACCGTTTTCCAAATTGTGAACTTGGTGTGGTAGCCTGGCTACAGCTGTCCTGAGGAGCAGAGGGAAGGAGAGAGAGAGAAAGAAAGAGAGAGAGAGAGAGAGAGAGAGAGAGAGAGAGAGAGAGAGAGAGAGAGAGAGAGAGAGAGAGAGAGCACCAGACTTTAGAAAGAGGGCATCCCAAAGCCCCCAGCTTGGTCCTAAGATCCCCAGGCAGAATAACGAAAGGGCTTCTTCCACAAAGAAACAAGGCTCCTTGGACTCTTCCAAGCCCACCTGGGTCCTCCATACCATCTGTGCTCGTGCATGGGTTTTGGAGCCCTAAGGCCTGAAAGGCGAGGGGCTATGCCCACCCCCCATACACACACACATCCAACCTACTAGTGTTAGGAAGGACCAAATGAAGGCGGGAGAGGCAGGATTGGCATTCCAAGGGCTGCAGGCAGAAAGAATGAGGCACCCCACAGCTAGCGGAGAGGCCCAGGGAGCCCTGGAGAGCATGGCTTGCGGGAGGGCGGCGCAGAGTGAGCCCTGAGCCCTAGGGCCCAGCCTGCCAGCTGCCTCACGCGTCTCTGGCAGGAGATCCAGGGGACCGCCTCCCTGATCGCTTCGCTCCGGGGCTCGGCTCAGAGGGCAGGGAGATCCTCTCGCTCCCCTAAGGCGACAGTGGACCGCGCTGGCCTGGCTGGGCCATAATCACGGCAGGCAAGGAGGCACACACACCCCCATTCCCACTCTGTTCACTCCAACACACACACACACACCTGCCATGAATTTGACTCCCATCGAAGAGTCACCATCCCAGCTCTTTCTTTCATTCACACACACACACACACACATACACACACACACACACACACACACACACACACACACACACACACACACACACACACACACACACACACCTGCCATGTATTGATTCCAAAGTGTTTTTGACGGAAAACAACTCTGCTCCCCCTCAAAACACTGGAGGACTGTTGCGGAGATGGCCGCAAGCATGCTTCTTTCTAAAATTGCCCCGCCTTCCAACTACTCTTCTCTTTCTTTCATGACTTCGCCTCCTCCCCCACCACACCCCACCCCCCTAAAAAAAATAGAAGCTTAGAAATACTTTCCCCCAGCACACTCGAGTAAAGGACTTTAAACAAATCCAAAAGGATTATCTCAGGGCAAAAAAAGTTCATGGCTTGTGTGAGTTCAATGAAAGTCCCAGAACGTCTTGAGTTCTAATCTCCACAACCCAGGCTGCCTAGAACCGCCCCCCCCCCCCCCCGCAATCCGCGCCCTCGCAGGGCCATGGGCAATCAGCAAGAGGTGGCAAAGGACGAACTAGGAGGTATGAAGGTGGCCGTGGGAAAAGGGCCATTCTTGCTCAGAATGCCAGGTGGGACGCGTGGGACCACTCACCTGCTTGGAACTCCACTTGGCGATTTTTTTCTTTTTCCTCTTCTAACAGCATAGAGTAGAGGATTCCGACTGAATTATGGATGCCGAAGATGGAGCCGTTGCACCAGGTAGCCGCGAACACCACCATCCAGCCGAAGCCACCTTCGGGAGGTTGGAAGCCACGCGCGGTGCCGCGAGTCTCCACGGTGGGCGTGGGCTCGGGTTCTTGCGCCGGCTCAGGCTCAAACCCCAGCTCCGGCAGAGGTGCGGGGTCCGGCAGGGGTTGAGGCTGCGGCTGGGGCTCAGGCTGGGGCTCGGGCTGGGGCACTGGCATGGGCTCCGGCTCCGGCTCCGGCTCCGGCTCCGGCTCTGGCTCCAGCTCAGGCTCAGGCTCAGGCTCCGGACTCCCTACTGGCTCTTGCTGTTCCTGATCTGCCTCCTTCCACGGCCCTTTGGCTTCCTCGCTAGCTGGGCTTTGCAGCGCCATCGCGGCTAGGGGACTGTGGCTGCTCGGGCCAGACGAGCCGCTGTGTGGCTGGTACTTGTTTCGGCTGCTGCTGCTGCTTCTCCGAGCACTGACGCCTCCGCCGCTGCCAGTGCCTCCTCCTCCCAGCTCCGCGCCTGAGCTGGCCAGCCTGTCCCGCGACAGACGGTCCCTCGAGCCCTCTCCTCCTCCTCCTCCCCCGACCAGCCCCCCTCCTCCTCTCCCATGTCATCTCTCTCTCTCCTCCCCCTCCTCCCGCCCACCTCTACCTCCCTCAACAGGCAGCGGCTAGAGCCTCTCTCTTCTCCCCAGCCCTTCCTCCTCCCTCTTACTTGCCTATCTACACAAGCCACCGCCGCCTCCCGCCAACTCCCCTGGTAACTACTGAGCCCTCTTTTCCTTGTTGACATTCCGAGAAGAGGGAGAATTGAAGTGACAGAGAGAGAGAGAGAGAGAGAGAGAGAGAGAGAGAGAGAAACACAAACTATCCTGTTCCCCTGCCCTGTCCTCTCTGCAGGTTCTACAGTCCGTACTGATCAGCCCTGAGGCTCCAAGAAAGATCCAGCCTGTTCTTCGCCTCCACTCCCTTCTTCCTCACTCGCAGCCTGTAGCCGAAATGGCTCTAGAACCCCCCCCCCCAAAAAAAAACACAGCCAGCCCGCGAAGGACCCCACCCTGCCCTTGGAGTCTTTATATCCCTACTTGGGCTTGGCCGGGGACGACCTGGAGGGGACAGCCAAGGCTTCGAACAAAGGGTGGACACAACCTTCTCAAGTCCAGGATTCAGCCCCCCACTGACCAGAATTACCCTCCACCCCCACCCCAGAGTCTCCCGCTAACCCCCGCCCTTCCCGGCAAATCTCTGGCGAGGCGGGGCAGGACTGGGAGGGGAGGGGAGAGGAGGAGGCGGCCTCACGGCGAGTCCCGCCCCTCCGGGCAGTCAATCAGGGCTTTGTTTGCGCCAACCTGGAGCCCCGAGGAGCTGCAGAAGGCCGAGTCTGGGCAGGGCCAGGACACACTCTAGGGAGGGGGCCGGACCAGAAACGGAGGGAGGCACAGTAGTACCAGAGTGGGCCGAGCCCAGGCTGTGGCAGGCGCAAGAGCTCAGTTCGGGATCCTCCTGGCTCTTGGTCCCGAACTAGGGTACAAGAAATCAGGGCCCAGTCGAGCTGCCAATTTGAGCTAGAATTGTCTCTGCTTTCCCTGGCCATGGATTTTCGGGTGCTTGGGACTTTGCAAGGTCCCAATTGTAAAGGTATCTTACCAGCACCCACCGCCCCCTCCTCCTTGGGCACACAGACCTGGGAGTCCCACTAAATGTCCCAGACTCAGGCCCCAACCCTATAAGGGTAACGAACACTTTGTTCCCCCAAGGAACACGTGGGTCCAGAAAGGAAGACTGAGGCAAGGGTGGATCTGTCGTGCAGGTAGCAAGATTTCCAACCCCAGGGTACAGCGATGCCAACCTTGGCCCTTGCTGGCACTGCGATTCTGGGAAGTTGTGCCTCCCCTCACGTCTATGCCTTTACTGCACTCAACATGAGGCCTCAACAGCTTGAGGAAGACTGTCAAATTCATTTTACTGCACATGTCATTAACCCTACTGCTAGGTCGAAGACTGCTTGGCTTGTGACAATGCAGCCAAGGAGCCTGGTTTAGTCTGTTGTCAAAGAGCACACAGAGCCATCAAGCACCAGGAGACAGATAGACCTGGCTGAAGAGGACAGAGGCAGCCCGAAGGTGCAGCTCTTGCAGTGTCTTGCACAAGAGCAATCAGGAGAATTCACCATAAACAGTCCTGATCAGGAGTGTAGGCCTTGTATGTACAATAAAGCACAACCCTTATTGCCCTGAGGTATGTTTTATCATTTGCTTTTTGAAGGCACAAAAATCAAAGCTTGCTGAGTGCTGGTGTCTTAAAGAGCTGAGATTTGAGAATCACTCTGAAGCTAATGCTGGCAAGAAAGTCCATGAGAGTCATCTCTAATTAACAACCAACAATCTGGAAGTGGAGGTAAGGCTCCAGTGATAGAGCCTATCCTTAAGCCAAAAGGCTAAGTGACAGCACTCCAGCCATGAATTCAAGCCCTAGTAATGGTACATACACAAAAATGAAGCTCAAGCCAGGCATCAATGGCTCACACCTGTAATCCTAGCTACTCAGGAGGCTGAGATCTGAGGATCGTGACTGGAAGCCCAACCCACACAAGAAAGTCTGTGAGACTCTTATCACCAATAAACTACTCAGAAAAAGCCAGAAGTGGCACTGTGGCTCCAGTGGTAGCATGCTAGCCTTGGGCAAAAGAAGCTCAGGGACAGTGCCCAAACCTTGAGTTCAAGCCTCAGGACTGAAAATAAATAAATAAATAAATAAATAGCGAAGCTCAACAGAGATCAGGGCATTTATTGGCCTGATTTATTGGCATTTATTGGGCAAATTCAAGCTAAAATTCAAGGCAGGCCTCCACACAGAAAGCCTTCAGCTCCCAGTGGAGTCTAAACTTGCTGCCCCAGGGGAGGAAGACCTAAGGGGAGGAGACAAGACCTGACTGAGCTGTGGCAGTAGGCTTCTGGATAAGATGGTGTCCAAGAGGGGCCTTGAATATTGCACAGGATTTTAATAGGTTGGATGGAGGTGGCCCCTTGCTTCAGATCATGACCTGAGCTCAAAGCACAGGGACACAGAAAGGCTCCACTCATAAGAAGAGGGAAGTGAAAGCAAATGAGGTCAAAAAGTTAATATGTATGTTGCCTCTCCCAGGAAACACTTGCATTTTAATAAAAATCTACTATGCTTCAACCATTAGGAATGACAAATCACAGACACTGTGTGTCTGGGGCTTAAGACTTGCTTTTCAGTTAGGAGGTTACCCAGAGAAGCACTAGCTTTGATAGCCACTTGCAGGGAACCTGAATCTATACCTAAAAATGATTGTTTCTTGGAGTTCTGCACTCTTTCTAGACCCCTATTATCTGAATTCTATTTCCGTCTTTTTTCTTTCTTTCTTTCTTTTTTGTCCGTCATGGGGCTTGAACTCTGGGCCTGGGTGCTGTCCCTCAGCTCTTGAGCTCAAAGCTAGCACTCTACCACTTGAACCACAGCACCACTTCCGGTTTTCTTGTGGTTTATTGGAGATAAGAATCTCATGGACTTTGCTGCTTGGGCTGGCTTTGAACCATGATCCTCAGATCTCAGCCTCCTGAGTAGCTAGAATTACAAGTATGAGCCACCAGAGCCCAGCTTTCCCTCATTGTTAAACTGGGCTTTCAAATCACTGGCATGGGGGTATGGATGGGTGAGGACACTCACTGAGAATCTCCTGTGACACTAGCACCATGTTAGTTAGGCACTTTACATACAAGATCTCATATAGTTTTCATAATGATACTATCAGGTTAAGATGATTTGTCCCCATTTTATTAATGAGCAAACAGACTCCAAGAGGTTAAGTCAGTTGTTTAAGTTTACAAAGCCAGTAAGAGGTAGAACAGGTATCTTCGCTCATTTGTGTGAGTTTCAAAGTATGTGCCCCACCCAGGAGACAGGATTATGTAATCACTTTTCCATCACTGGAGCAATACATGCAATACATGCCATTTCTCCCTTCCTTAGAAGATACTTGTGCTTTCTAATGGCTATAGGACTGGCATCAGGAGACCTGCATCTTAATCATGGCACTACTATTGCATTCCTGTATGGTCTGAAGCATTTTGTGTTCTGTTTCTGAATCTGTTTCTTTTCTGTGTCAATATTGGAGTTTGAAGGCCTTGTAATCACTCAGCTTGCTTGGCTGTACTCTACCACTTGAGCCACTCCTCCAGATCTGCTTTTTGCTGGTTATATTGAAGATGAAGTCTAGTGGACTTTTGTACCAGGGCTAGCCTTGAATCTCAATCCTCCAGATCTCAGCCAACTGAGTAGCTTAGGTTTACAGGGATGAAGTCTTGGTTTCTTTATTTACAAAATACAGTTAATACTTACTACATAGAGTTATTAAGTAGCATGCTAAGAGATACAGGCTTTATTTTGGATATATGAATCTTATGATTTGGATAAGTATTTCCAAAAGGCCCAGGTGTCAAAGGCTTTGGTTGCCAACTTGCAGCACTTTGGGGAAGTAGTGGAAACTCTAGGAGATGAGGCCTAGTGGGAAGAAGTTAGGCCCCTAGGGAGATAATGGAACCTTGACCCCTTCCAGGCTGTTTCTTTACTTCCTGGCTGCCATGAAGCACCTCCTCCACCATGGGTTCATGCTATAATATACTGTGCTACCACAAGCCCAAAAGCAATGGGGTCTAGTGACTATGGACTCAACTCTCCACAACTATAAACCAAATCAAACCTTCTTTCCTTAAAAAGTTTATTCATTTCAGGGCTGGGGATGTGACTCAGTGGCAGAATGTTTTCCTAGCATGCATGAAGCCCTGTGTTCAATTCCTCAGCACCACATACACAGAAAAAGCCAGAAGTGACACTGTGGCTCAAGTGGTAGAATGTTAGCTTTGAGCAAAAGAAACTCAGGGACAGTGCCCAGGCCCTGAGTTCAAGCCCCAGGATTGGCAAAAACAACTTTATTCATTTCAGGTATTGTGTCACAAAAGCAGAAAACTGATACAATAAAGTTACCACTGATGATTTTTATGAATTTATTTATTTTTTTTAATCCTTAAGTGGTTGTACAAAATAATTCCAATTCAACATCTCAGTTTATGAGTAAAACACATCTTGATCAATATTACCCCACTGGATGTTTCTGAGTGAGGAGTAACATCAAGGCTATATCTTACAGAGAAAAGTGTAGAGAGACTGCAGAAGGTAACTTGGAAAGTTTAGAAGCAAGCAAAACAGGCATCAGGTACATGAACTTCTCTTTAAAAGTCTCTAAATTAGCATTGGCCAACAAATATCATCAACAGCAACAGATGTTTAGAGAATATTAACTAGGTAGACTCATCAGCTCTGCTTATGCTCACAACAGCTAAGTGAGCAGTGGTCCCTGTCTAAATTTGGACCAGTTTCTATAGCAAGTACAGAATATACTTGCTCTTGCCTGTCCTTAACAGAAATGAACTCACAGTGGAATAATTCCAATTACTTATATCCTGCATTATTCATATGAGGGGATAAGATAGAACAGTGGGTCCCCATCCTCATTACTGAATATTGATTCCTAGG